TCTCTCTCTCTCTCTCTCTCTCTCTCTCTCTCGCTCTCTCTCTCTCTCTCTCGCTCGCTCGCTCTCCTCTCGCCTTCAACTTCCACGGCTCGAGTGGCCCATTTGCACTGCTGCTGGCAGCCGAGGAAGGGATCATGTAAGGCATCGCGCAGACTCCCCCGCCCAAAAAAAAAAAAAACCCTAAAACAACAACAACAACAACATAAACCAGATTTCAAAGCGAGGGAAAGAGCAACTTTAGAGATGTGGATCTATTTGGGTGATTCGCTGCTCCTCGTGCCACCGGCTCGCCCCGTCCTACGCTGTCGACACCGGTACTATTGCATCGCCGCCGATTTGGACTAGGATCCCGCCCGGTGGAGGAGGAGGAGGAGGAGGAAGGTGCTGTCCCGAACACTTGACGCCCGTGCTGTATGGATGCTGCATCCGTTCGGATCGCCGAGAAGAGCGCCAATGGGAATGCCGCTCCAAGATCTCATGCCATTCACTTTAAGTTGTTGGCCTCTCCTCTTGGCTCACTGCCTTCTCTCGCTGCTCTTACTCACATGTCAGGTAACATGCAACACTTTGTTCTTCCTCTTATTTTTTGTTGTACACCACACAGAGGACACTTAATCAGGCACACCTGCACATCTGTCCATTCTGTGTTATCACAATGCACACAGTCAGAGAAATATGTCGTAATTTTTTGTTCATGTAATTAGTTTGAATGGTACTGAGAGCTGTTTCCATTGTTTTGGTCATTTAATTGCATGATAGGTTGTCTGAAAGTGTGTCACTGTGTTTTTAATATTTTTAGTCGCATGTGACCCCCTAAAAAACATTAAGAACGTTCCTCAGTGTGAACCCGTGCAGTTCTACACCGCATGTCACAATGATAAATAATACATATTGTACAATATACTTTATTTGCATACATCGACCGTGTTCTTTTCTTATAGGAAATTTAGGTGACCAAATTATTAAGCATATCACTTAGTATGATTCAGAGCAGTTTTTGGCCACTATAACTACCCCATAATAATATACATCTTGTTTATTTCATGTGAAATGTGAACTGAGAGAATTACAAAGGCTTCTGCATTGCCACACTCATTGCTCGAAAACAAAAACAACAAAAAAAAAACAGGTTGTCAAAATATTAAGAATCCCCCTCAGATTTAGTGCAGGTCCACAATACCATAACCACATCACAGTGAGGTGACAGAGATATTGTTAAATTAGTATCAAAAAAGAACATTATTATGTTTGCCAAAGCTGAAGCTCCTGCATTGCCTTTTTAATGGCTAAATTAAAGAAACACCCCCTTGTATCACACAATGCAATTCTTCTACACACATTATAAATATAAAGGCTGTGCTATGTTGCTCAATGAAGTAGCCAAAATATTAGGACCGCATTCACACGCACTCAATCAATTGCAGTTGTACACCACTACAACGCAACAACACTACCGTGTACATACTGTTAAATAAAAAAAAAAAAAAACATAAATCACAACTAATCATTCGCTTTGAAAAACTTAAACGCTTCTTGAATTGGACATCAGTACTGTGTATTGTGCAGGTATGCCTAATGTTGTGGCCACAGAGAGTAGTGAATATTTGTCAGGTTGGTGGTGACACAGCTCATGGCACACAAATATCACCAGTGGGAACATGGAGTGTTTTTCCCCGACACTATTCGCCGCCAATCTCAGCGGGACGTGTGCAGCAGGCATATGCTAGTGCTGAGTCGTGTAACCTGTGCTCCCCCCGTGCTGCTGCCTACAGATACACGGTGAGCTGTTGCTCACGCACACGCACTGTTAGCAGGGTTCACGTGTAATGTGATCTGCTTGAGTTTGCAAGTCCACCCACTCGCACTCCTCGGGGCGGCCTGCTGCCCACTCTGTTGGTGGGTGGGTGGCTTCTTACAGGGATTGCAGCTGGAGATGTGCTACTATTCCGCGTGAGCCAGTCACAACAGCAGCGGGAGAGAATGCTGAGTACAATTAAGCACGTGCGTGTTGTGAGGATAGCATTTCAGTCTTTATTTTCCCCATTGTCTTCCTGGTTTCAATCAAAGGGAGAACTCCAGAGGCCATGCTCGCAGACCGTGGCAGAGAAAGTTAGCCAACAGTGCCAGCTGGCGTGCCACTGTAGAAGATACCCTCCACTTCCCCCACCGCCACCTCCCCCGCCTCCCCCACGGCTATTGGGCACCATAGGTAAGAACTCCGGCATCTGTCTCACTCAGCTGTGCTCTCGTTCCAATGGCGACAAGTACAAATACTACCTTACTGAAATTTGAACACAGATATCTGTAACTTTCCACTCCTTACTTAGTCAAAATGGACCTGTTACTTTTTGGAAAAGAAATACAGGTAAATAGAGAGGTAACATCAACTATGGTTGATCTTTAGATTTTTTAAAAATTTGTTTTTATGGGACAGTGCACCTTAATCAACACAAACAGTGGAAATGCGCTGGACTTAGCATAAATGCTAGTTTTCAGTCCCAAGGCTAACTGACTGAAATTTTAGGGACCTAAAAGTTGGGGATAAAAACAACACAACAATTCAGAGAAGCAGAATACTAATCCATGTATAAATTTATTGAAGAAAACTGATGTTGTCAGCTCCAAAGAACGATTTGTGGGAAATATGTTGTATCTTGAGCTAGCTTAAAACAACCATTCAAAATTTCTCCTTTTAATTTGAAAAGACACAAGTAAGGTGTATTTGTTCAATTCTTAACATTCGATAACTCTGCAACTTTTTTTCTTAATTGACGCAGTTCCCAAAACTACGTTTGGAAAACCTAAACGCATATTAGCTAACGCTAGCTAGAGCGGTATTTAAAAAAAAGTAAAGTCTCTTTGTTTGACTGTAAAAAAAATAAATCCTTATTACTTTTGTACTTAAGTGCATCTCAGAGTCTAAACTATTGCACTTTTACTGTGGGAATGTACTTGAATCAGTATTTTCTTTCCACGAGTATCTTTACCTCTCCCTAAGTATAGACTGTGAGTACTTTTGCCACATCTGACTCTCTCCCAGATTTCCATGCGACGTGGTTCCTTTCGTGCAGAAATGCGCCATCCATCCCCTCGAATTTTTGCATGTGTACGCTTGTGCATGTGATGGAGCCAGCAGGATGTTGACAGCAGAGCTAATTTATGCTGGGCCTGACCCTGGGGAGTACGCAGCTGCCCGTGAGATCCAAAGCCTGTTGGGCCGCCAAGCTCACTGGCTCATTGCGAGGATTTCCCCTGGAGGACCCAACAGTGATTAAAACACAGACGACTTAATTAAATTAGCCATAATTCGATCAAGAGAAGAGGCTAATGAAGCAGCACACTTTTTGTTTTGAAGTTGAGCTGGCGGCGATAAGTGTGTGCTGTGCTCGGCGCCGATTCCGGCAGATTTCTTTTTGGTCTGAAATCCACTGATCGGCCAACATATTTCACCTGCCAGCCTGCTGAAAGTAGATCTGATTTGTACATGGTCTCACGCCCTGTTAATGAACAGCGCATTGAAATATGGGCGACAGGCGTTGCTGATGATGCAGCCATTGTGAGCTATTACCATGACTCTTTAGAATCACTCACCCTGAGTCCTTTACAAGAGGTGGGGATGAGTACTTCATCATCAGCAGACAGCACCGGTAAGGTTTTCATCAATCTGCTCCAATGATTTTCCTTTTGGCTCACTGTTTGTTTTTTCCCCCTCCCGACACACCATTGGGCTCCCTTTGAATGAGGAGTCATAGTCCCCATTTGTGATTGTAGTCAAGGTCACAGCAACAAACACCGCCAGGAGCATCTGACTGAAAGCTCAAGTAGGGGCGGTGAATGCTCAGTTTTTTTTTTTTATTATGTTGTTTTTGGCAGTTGATTTATATGACAACCGTCATTAGGAACCTCAAAATGCAAACTTTTGAAAATACCACACTTGCAAGTTCAATTTCATTCACCATGGTGTAGTTCTCAGACCTGTAAAACTTGATCTGACATACTTTGCTGATGTGGGATGGCTTGTGGAATGACAATAGGCCCATGAATTTTGAAATAGGGCTGCAGCTATTGAATATTTTCGTTGAATAGTCGGATGTTCGAAAAAAACAACAAATCTTGCTTGAAGATACAGAAGACAACCCCCCCCCCACATTTCCATATGACAATAAATGGCAAACTTTGTCATTGTTAGATAATCAACATTTCATACTTAAATTTAAAATGTGCATCACAACACACTCCAGAAACTTCTCCTAACCCTAAAAATATCTAATTCTACTTTGTATACATTTTCCCACCTACCCAAGTCCCCATTTTTGTTCAAAGTTACATCACAGTAAAAAAATAAAAATAACATTGTTGACTAATGGCCTACATGTATCTTACAACATATTCTCTCATTTTTACAAATCCATTGTGTTATCTGTACAACAGGTTCTCTATGACCGATGTGGCAAATTTATCTCATTTCAAGGGTCTGAATCAAATCACAGATGCAACATAAGAAGGCACACTGTCATAACTTATTTTTTTGTTTGCTTCTTTTAATTTCATGGTCTATAAGTGTTTTTTTTTCTGGATTGTGATTTTACTACTGTATTATAATAACTTAGTGATATGTGTACGGTAATTACGTTCAGGTGACTGTACGTCGCTGGAATAGGAACGCAACACTAAACCACGGAAACATTGTATAAGACATTGCAAAAACTCCCCAAACTTTTGCATAAGACATTGCAAAAACTCCCCAAACTTTTTTTTTTAATCATTTTTACTAGTCTGGTGTCATGTAACATACCTTAATGCCCTAAAGCCTTGATACGCTGCTCGGTCTTGTGAGAAAATGCAAGCAGGCCCATTTAGTGCATTTTAGCTCCTTTACAAGACAGTTTAAAAACGGGTGTAGACCCTTTGAATTATTCATGTCATGGAGGCTCACTTTAATCCTCGTAATTATCATTCTATTCTTTCATCTAAGGCCTGAAGTTTTTCTCCAAAGTGTAATCTTTAGAAGGCAATCAATATGCATGGATGAAAATACAGTCCCCCGCCCCTCCCCTATTCAAAGGAATGGAATGGGTTAAGCAGGAGCATTACCTACAACTAGAACCAATTCCGTAGGGGGCTGACAAAATGCTGACTGGAGAAATGTAACCTTGACTGAAGGGAGTTTTTCAATTTGGAATGACTTACTATAGAACATGCCCTTTATGCATATTAATGAACATCAGTGGAGATGGATGGATAGATAGATAGGTAGATAGATAGATAGAGGCACAAAATGCTCAAAGTTGCTGATGCATACAAGTGAGTGAGTCTTCCTGGACACAACTAATGTGCGGTGTAAGAGTGCTGTTGTCAAGGAACCTAAATGATTTATGGTGTCATGTACATGGATATCAATCATTGACTGTTAAACAGAAGAATTGGAGTGGAGCCAAGTGTCTTCTTGGCTTTTTCTTGATGTCATGTTTTGACGTGTTTCGGCTTTTCCTCTCTCCAGCGGCAGAACCAATGGTGCCCTTGGTGAGACCCTGGTGGACAGACATGGACTTTATAGTGCTGGGAATAGTGGGCTGTGCCTCGGCACTCTTCCTTCTCTCAGCCATCATCATTTGCTACAAGGCCATCAAGAGGTCAGTTGTCCCTTGTACTTTAAATAAAAAAAATGCTGTCCTGTTTTGCTGTTCAAATGAAGTAGAGCGCAGACCTCTGACATAGTAAAAGGCGCCGGGAAATTCACAATCACATTGTGGCAAGCAGCAGCAATGAGGAAGTCAACGACAATGAATGTAGAGTATTGGGAACCCACTCACAACAGCTAATTCACTCACCTAAAATCTGGTACACCGAGATTGTTTAATCTTGGAAATGGAAAAAAAAATACTAAAGTAAAAGAGGGAAAAAACATGATGTGTCGACAAAGTAATTCATCCATTAATTTTTTGATCCGCTTTATTCTCACGAGGGTCGCGGGGGGTGCTGGAGCCTATCCCAGCTGTCTTCGGGCAGTAGGCGGGGGACAGGCTGAACTGGTTGCCAGCCAATCGCAGCGCACACATTGACGAACAATCATCCGCGCTCACACTCACAACTAGGGACAATTTAGAGTGTTCCATTAACCTGCCATGCATGCTTTTGGAGTGTGGGAGGAAACCAGAGTACCCGGAGAAAACCCACGCAGGACCGGGGAGAACATGCAAACTCCACACAGGAAGGGGGGAGGCGGGCGGGGATCTGCACTGTGAGGTCGACGCGCTAACCACTTGATCACCGGGCCGCCGACAAAACAATTGTCTTCTAAATCTGACACACCACAGAGAAGTGTGTTGTTAACAAGTAGCGATGACGACAAATGATTCAATCAAACTGGCAGGTATCTAAAATGAGGTTTCAAAATCGTGGAAAGTCAAGCCAACTCAAGATCGTGAGCACCAATCCAACTTGAAGGCAGTCGACATGATGTGCCATTTGACATGTGGGCGAAACGTGTTGTGTCATGTGAGGGTTGATGCGAGGGTTCCGTATTGACTGATGGGCCACACAAAGGTTGAATCACAGAATGGGCTGTAAAATGTCTCAGAGTAGAAGTGAGGATTTCCAAACAGACTGCCTGACCTTACCGTACACTGTTGGTTTTTATTTGCATAAGTGCATCTCACATCGGCAGAGAGGAATCCCACGTGGGTGCTGGTGCGACGGGAAATGTTTCCCCCCGTTTGGCTTATTAGAGGAAAGGCTGCGCGCAGCTTTGGCCCCAAGCGAAAGCTAGACCCATTTTTGTGTGCCATTCAATGTCACACATGCACTCTGAATTACATGTTCATGTCGGCAGACATTTAATAAAGACGTACACACACCAGTACCCCTCGCGTGCGAACGAGCATCCATAAACATCTTGACATATTTACACGCCCATGTGAAAGTAACTCCACATGCGTATGCTAAATCGCAGAGTTGTTTTATGAACCCGTGATGAATCCACATAATTATATTTGATATTTATTGAACTATATTAAGCCACCCTCAGCAGAACTCCATTTCTCCTTTCTCCAAACAACAAATAGGCAAAGCCAGGCAGCGGAAGTAATGGGTGGTTGGCTCAGGAATTCATTATGGCAATTTTCCAGCCCCCCTACCCCTGTGTAGCCAAGGGGCATTTTTTTTAACGCAGTAGCGGCAGGAAAGTGTTGTTGCAATAAACCCAAGTCATTATTTATGAATTAATTTGCACAGTCATTCATTTGCAGGCCACATCTTTTATACATGCAAGCAGGTCATGTCCTGAAGCCCCCGTGGGCTCCAGACTGCTTGCAGACTTCAGTGCCACGCCACTTAAAACCAGGTCCAGTCAGAGCTCATTACGCATTCATTTGTCAGCGGCGTGCAATCGAAGGATAAATGGGCTTCCTTTCGCATTTGTCATGCCTGCCCTAATCACTTAAAAGTCAAGAGAGAATAAATGACGATGAAAAGGAACGATTACATATTCTATGGCAAGGACAGCCAAGAAAATAATTGAGAATCTGAAGCGACGTTCATAAAAAATGTGAACGACACCACACACAACCAGGAAAGTCAGCAAATGTGTGCTTACTGCACTTACAGTGTGTGGCATATTCGAGATGACCAACACAGCACGACACCCGCAACAAATATCTCCACCAACAATGGCGAGTCTCCGCTCCCGAACCAGATGTTTTTGCAGTAACAGGTCATCGAGACTGCCCAAAAATACAAAGAAAGAGTAGAATTAGGAGTAAATCGAGAAGAAGAAGAAATAGAAGAAGCTGGAGATCCACAAATACCTGCTCCAACGCTAAACGGAGGTTTTCAACTGGGTCGTTCAATCAAAGAGTCGTTTTCAGATGTAGTTAGGCTAAATGTTAGCTTCTCTGTTCACGACATTTCGGTTGCTCTTTGTGGTGAATGACTTGTGGGTGTCATTCTTCCATTGGAGGGATGATGTCTGCATCAGATAAGAAAATAGCGTGACATCATACCATAATCAAATAAAGTAGAGTATTTTGCGCACCTAAAAGCATTCAATTTTCTCAAAAGTAGACAGTGCGCCCTATAATGCAATGCGCAGAGGTTGTGTAGGCTCTATATAAATAAAGAAGAAGAAAATAACTATTTTCACAATGGAGAAATTGCCAATTAAAGCAGCAAAAATTATGAAAAGGAGAAAGTAGAAAAACAAAACACGTATTGCGTGCACAAAAAAAAACTTTTGTATTGTATTCTCTTTTAGCATAACACCATCTAGTGGATGCATAGTGCAACCGCAGCCAATTTGTAGCTTCTATTCTATGCGCCGTATAATGCAGTGTGCCCAATACATTAAAACAGTTTTGAATTTATTTCTTGAAGCTGCGCCTTATAGTGCCGAAAATCCAGTAAATATGTGTGTCTTGGCAGCATCATCCTTCTGCTGTCATTCACAATTTTTTTTCCCCTAAATGACAGTTTTTGTTTTCTTTCTGTTTGATGAATTCATTGTAAAATTGAAAATGGTGAACAATTCCCACTCCGACAATCAACAGACAGCAGTGCATCGAGCTTCGTCTTCCACTAAAATGTACCACGTGAAAGGGTACCAAAGAGTGGGGCGAATTGCAGTACTGTTGAACAAATAGACAGAAAAAAATCAAAAATATATTCCATCTTGAGACTTCAATGTCTTCATTCTCCAAATTTTCAAATTACAATTCAATTTTTTGTCCATCTTCCGTTCAAAAAAACGATGCTGGTGAAACAGTGCTTTTAGTCAATAGCAATAACCGCGAAAGGGGTAGTCGGAGAGCAATGAACCACATCCAATCTGTATCACGTTCTTCCATGGCTTCTTTGCTTCAGGCTTTCCTCAAATAAAATCGTCTAGATGAGGTCCAGGGCCAGACAGCTGAAGAGGTGAGGGCCAAGCTCTGCAGGCCACAACCCTATTGGCCTTTTCTTATTTCTTTATTTTTTAATCATATTTGTCTGTCACTCATCTGCCACAGGCAAAAGGTCCTGGCAGGAAGAAAAAAAAAATGAAGAAAAAAAACCCCCACGTCTATTCTATTGAGAGTACACAGCAGCGGCAACAGCAGGGAGGCTGATGTGTGCAAGCGTAAAGAAGAGAATCAGACACATGCTGCCTCTCAGTGTTGCCGTGGCATCCCAAGCAAAAGACATGAAGCTGCTTCTGTCTCCCGGCTGTCCGCCAACCCAGAAAGCCAAAATAAACAAAGCTCAGCCCCGACGTGCTAATGGAGCGAGATGCTTTTTCTAATCACTTAGCGCTCCGGGAGGCTTGTCTAAAAGCGGATATTACTCCACAGCTGCTCCCGACCGATTCAAGGGCAATGCAGTACAGCCAAGGAAACTTGTTAAATCTTAAGCAAGAAGGCTTCTCATGTAATATTTCATCATTTCGCCTCTCATTTTGAAAACTCGCATTTCCTGACCGATACCTACCAGAGCACTCTGTAGTGTTGTGAACCACCGAATGTTACTGTAGTTTCCAGATGCCAATTGGAAACAGCGCGTATGACATGTCCTAATTTCATTACGACCCGTAGCCCAAACTTCAAACGGGAGTGTGCGCCGTGATTGCACAGCTTTCCTATAAAATATTCATCTAACACGTGAAGTGTTGTGTTGCCACCTGCCACATGTCAACAGCTTGCCATCTATTATTGAAACCTTGTGTACACGTTCAAGAAAGCTCAGCCCTGTCCAGTGTCCTCAAGCGACACGGTCAGCGGTTGTTAACAGTGGACGCATGCACCTTGCAACAGTTGCATCTCAAGAAATTGGAATTATCATAAAAACGTAAATTTGATGTCAAATTTATACATTTTCTATAATACAGATTCCTTCAACAAAATGGGAAAAAAACACAAATACTCCCGATGTTGTGGTAGATGCTGCTGCCTTATGAGTAAATAGCATGGGTTCGATTCCCAGCCTGCAGCCCACTGCTGGTCCCATTGCCGTACAAAGAAGTGGGTCGCAACATCAGGAAGGGCATCTGGTGTAAAAACTGTGACAAACAAGCAGGTGACTCTCTGGAGAACGCTCAAGGGACAAGCTGAAAGTTGCAACGTCTTCAGAAGCCCAATTCCCACTTAATTTCTATCTGAAGATGACTTTTGATTGTTTCTTGTGCGTGATTTGAAATTAGTTAGATGCTGAATTGGGGTTTTCATTTGCTCCTAGCTAAAATCATCAAAATCATACGAAAAAATACATCATACATACATTACAGTCTAATTCTGTCATACATCTGTATAATTCGTGGCTTTCATTTTTTGAAGTGAAGTCATAAAATGGCTTCCACGATATTCTAAATTATTTGATGGCGCTAAATCAAAAGTGGTGAGTATTTTGCGAGGCGGTGGAGGGAGATTTCATACAGTACATGAATATGGCTGCTCCTCACTCTGTTTTCAAACTAGGCAAATCCCCAAACTGCCTGTTTGGTCCCCTTGAGGAAACCATCAGAACACCGCAGCTCCCACACGTGCGCTGATCCTCACCCACACAACATAATGTGATTCTCCCTTCGTGCTTGGACTATTACATCTCCTAGGCTTTCCCAGGGTCCTGCGGGGACACTGCGACTGGCATCTGTCCCCAATAAAATATACGTCATGACTAATTCTTTGTTTACAACCAAGCCATTAGCCAAAAACAGCACCACCAACAACCTCAAAATCTTTTTTGTCAAGTGTATTGCTTATGTACACTACATTTGGTTATCTGGTAATTCACAACTTGTAAGCCTTAAATTAGCCAAGTAATATTTACTAATGGGCGGCCCGGTAGACCAGCGGTTAGCGCATCGACCTCACAGTGCAGAGGTACCGGGTTCAATTCCAGTTCCAGCCTCCTTGTGTGGAGTTTACATGTTCTCCCCAGGCCCGTGTGGGTTTTCTCCGGGTATTTCGGTTTCCTCCCACATTCCAAAAACATGCATGGCAGGCTGATTGAACACTGAATTGTCCCTAGGTGTGAGTGTGAGCGCGGATGGTTGTTCGTCTCTGTGTGTCCTGTGATTGGCTGGCAACCTTTTTTTCCCTGATAATATCAACATTTAAAATTTAGTTTGGTGAAAACGACAAAGTAAATCCACACGGAAATAATTGATGCTCCCAGAATTCTTTATATTTAAATGCTATCTGGATTGTCAACAAAATTTTCTTTGTTGGTCCATTCCACCCGCTTCTCATTTTTCATTTTTTGTGGAAATCTAATCCGAAAAGTCCAGGAACTCACACACCACCAACACATGAACTAATGACTAGAGTCATGGCGACACAATTGTTGACAGCAACTTTGTATGGGGGATGAAAGTACTCTCTTGGACTATAGACAGCCGAGCAGGAATCCTGAGGAGTTGTGCCGTGTATGAGTGGCGGAACGCTGTGACAGCCCAGACAGCACCGAGTGACATAACGGTTTAACAGGTGTGACAAAATCACAGTCACGTTGGAAAAACGGGGGCAACCTGAAAACGAGGGCTGACGAATCAACTCGACAGCGGGAGAGCGTTCAAACAGAGTGAGCGTGTGCAGGAGGAAAAGTCTTGGCAAAGCAACGCAGAAATGCGCTACTCATCTAACCTTAGAGAACACCGTGGCACGCGATTGAAATGAGACGAAAGTGTTCGGGATTTTTTTTTTCCCCCCCTGCGGGATATGTTGTCTCGTGTGCGTTCGTGTGCATGCGTGTTATATATTAGATAGATGACTGCGGCGTCATTGTAAAACACATTTCTGTGCATCTGAAAACCAGACCCGTGAAATAGGCAAGAAGAATTTAGATCAAAGTATGTCTCATGTTCTGATTGACAAAGTACACAGAGGACAGACAAACACAGTCCAAAGCAGGGTTGGAAGAGGCACACCCTCCACTCCAGCTTGATTCTGTCGCAGCGCCAACACTTTCCTCCATCCATCCATTCATCCATCCATTTTCTATCCCACATGTCCAAAGTCCAGCACGTGGGCCAAATGCAGCCCATATAAGAAAACCGTGTTGCACAAACGTTTCATTGTGTTAAAATTGAATGAGTTATGTACAAAGTATTTTTTAATTTACAAAATGACAACAGACACCAAGGTCCACATATTCCCGCACTGCCAGGTCACAGTCCATCTTAAAATAATAATCGGGTGCACGTTGGGCCCGGACTGGTCTGAGAAGAAGCGGTCAAAGTTGGAGCGACCAGTCGTTGCTTTTGAAAGACAAGATGTCGCTCAGGGCTCCTCTGCGTTGGAGAGCACGCTGTAAGCTGCGGAGCGGGACAATGACTGTACTAACTGTATTCACATGTGGTCTCTTGACTTACATAAGCCAGGCGAGCTGAGGGGGTGCGCTGCACAAGGCACAGTACACTGGACAAATATAATAAGCACAAAGGCATACGAGAGTGCATGAAAGGAGCGTCGTTGAATAATCCTAGCCTTCAATTCGTCCCGTCTTTAGTTTTGCACCAGGAGGTACTTTCACATATGGATGTTATTCCCAGCTTGGTTCGACAGCTGCACGCATACTCATTATGGAGGGGAGAGATTGCTTCGATAGCGGTCGCAGGAGGTAATTGCCTTATCGTCTGCGTCGCAATGCATCTTTCCCTTCCTGCAAATGTGACCTTTGAACAGAGGCCTTATTAGAAAGGATCGGCGAGACAGAGAAAATCAAATCAACATCTTGAATAACTCAAAAGTCCCTTTTTTTTATTTTTTTTTTTTTAATGGCATGGCCTTTAGTTGCCATGGAGCGCAATGTGGAATGGTGACCACTGGCACGGTGGCAACACTCCATTTCATCTCTGGAGTTTATCATCGCTTCCGCGACCTTGACCCACTCTGCCTCCTGGGCCACGGCCGCGCCGTAGTTTGATGTCTCTTGTGTTTTACTTAACCCTTTCGGGGGTCAGTGGTTACTAGAGTGGACAGCTTATCATGTTAACAGGTTACAGGCTGAATGAAAGGGTGAAATTATGTACCCTTTTGTGCTTCTACATTAAGCCGATATTACGAACCCATCCAGCAACATGCCATACGCTTCGCCTATCTGTGCCAACTGAAAATAAGTAGCCGGTGAAAGTATTCCAAGGTATTGATGGGGATTGATGATAAATGGCTGCCGTTCCCTTCTTTGTGTCTTGGCTAGGGGTGTCAAACTCATTTTTGTCGTGGGCCACATTTTAGTTACCGTTTCCCTTGCAGGGCCGTTATGACTGAAACCATATAAAAAAAAGTCAATAACGGTTGATTCAACTATTCTTGAAGTGACTGTAATGAGGGGTTTGGTCACAAGAAAATGCTGAAAATATGTCTCTAATTTATTAAAATATGATCATTTTAAATTTTGGTCGAGATTTTAGCAAGCATCATGGAACATGTTTAATTTATTTTCATGGGTCACATAAAATGATATGGCGGGCCAGATCTGGCCCCTGGGCCTTGAGTTTGACACCTGTGATTTAGGCTGTCTTGTATTCGCCCAAACAGAGCGCCCGTGTTTATTTTAAGGCAAACCAATGAATAAAGAAATGGAACGTATTTTCTGTCAAGCAATGAAGATAGAAATGGGGTGCCTCCTCTCCACCGCTGGACAGAAAAAAACAAATGTTTATAACTGTTATCACAGTTTCTTATTCTTAACCAAGTATTAACTGTTAATTTATTCACATTTTTTAAAAAATGCAGTTCTACCATCAGTAATTTACATCAATCCTCAGTTTGAACGGCATAGGAAGTGACTGAACGGAAGGATTTTATTTATTTATTTTTAAAATCGTATTTTTATTGTGGCCATTGGCGGTTAAATTGTATTTATCTTGTATCAGGTGCTCACTGTTTTTGTTTTGTTGTTGTTAGGAAACCGCTACGTAAGGAAGAGAACGGGACAAGTCGCGGGGAATACGCTATGAGCATCCGCACCAAGAAGGCCATGGGTACAAACAACACTGTGGTATAGACTTGACTCCAGCTCGGAACAGGAAGTGACAGCATTCGTCATCTTTCAGGCCCACCCCCTTTTCCTCAGTGACCCCCTTCTCACCCAGAATGCAACAGAGTTGCAGGAAACCCCTCCTTCTTCTGGTTGCCCTGCCCCCCACGATGTGTGTTGTTGAAAAGCATCCCAGCAGGCTGAGCACTTGCTCTTAGTAAGAGCAAGTGTTGCTGACAGGCTGCTGACTGTGGGCCAGTCTGCCGCACATCCAGACCTCACGCGTGCGATAGAAGCGCAGACAATAGAGCGGCCCCGCGGCGCCATCACACACGATAAATAACGTGCATGCACTTTTTACAGAGAATGCAATTTTTTTTTTTTTAAAGAATATATGCTCCATTTTTGGTTCTGCATTTTGGAGACAGATGCCTTGCAGGGGCATGAGCTGACTGTCACTCCTGACTCTGAGGCGTGCATTCATGACTATGCAATTTAAAGAAATCCGTACTTTGAAAAAAAAAGAGAAAAAAAGGAGGCAACGTCAACACGGGCGTGCATTCATGACTATGCAATTTAAAGAAATCCATACTTTGAAAAAAAGAGAAAAAAAGGAGGCAACGTCAACACATTCTCAAGATTCACTGTAACATACTTTAGTCATTCATTTATTTATTTTCTCTATTTATCTGTCTACCAAAAAAAAAGATGATATTGTACAGTCCTCAGCATTTGTTTTTGGGATTTTTTTTTTTTTTTTTAAGTGACTTATTTATACACAATTTTATTTGGCCACAGAATGCCGTTGACGGTGTTGTGGACACAATGATGCAGAAAACGGCATCGTTCGTCCGTATCTGCGTGTTTGTTGAGATTTCGTGTTTTGTCTCAATGTCACGGTGTGCTTTCTCTATTGCATCACACGCTAGCCCACTGTTGATTTTGTAAAAGTCAACTCAGTACACGTTCTTCCTTACAAGGGCAGTGGAGCCTCTAAGGTGCAACGCAATCCGTTCTGCGACAGTAGACTGCTCAACTCTCTAAGTCATTTGTCATCGGAAAGGATTAAAAATAGAAATGTTATCTTCCACAGTGAAACTGTTACCATCATAAAAACTGCACTGGCCATGTTTCCAGTAACTAGTCATTTTAACCCTTTCAGGGACAGAGAACTATGAACACTTCCAAAATGCAATCGGTTTTGACACAAAGCATTTAGGCTCCTTCGAGAAAGTAAATAAGAAAAATCAAATGGAATACCCGACTAGAACAGCTGAACTTTATTTGGTGGTAATCATAATCGCTTGCTGACTCACATTAAACATGAGTTTGCGTGCGTTTGGTTAATTTTGAGCACTGCCAAATGTCCGGTTATAAAAGATTGTGCGCACTTGTGCAACCGAATTACACAAGCAGAAACATCCAAAAATTATTTTTTATCAGTACCTGTGGTGGCTTTGGAGTAACTGGCATGCCCCTGAGTCTGTAACGGTTGGTAATCCTTTTTGAAACTGAGAGCAACTTCTTGGCTCCTGAGTACGAAGCAATACTAAAATAAACCTCTACAAATGATCACTTGTACAAGATTCCTAGAAAATCACAATGTCCCACAACTGGTTAGCTATATTTGGAATAGGCCCGCGGAAACTGGGTTGGTGACCCCCTGTGATAGTTATAAATGACCACCCTTGACCACGATATTGCAATAATTTCCATTTTCTGTCCTATAGTTATCGTCACGTTTGTCTTAATCATGCAAAAGAAACGCAGAAGAGCCAAAGAAAAAAAAACAAACGCACTTCAGGAATTAATCTTGAAATGCTCACTGTGCTGAAGTATTGCTGGGGTTTTTTTTTTCCGAGGCCTAGCGTCGAACTGAAATTCCGAATGACTGTATATGAGTTGAGGACGTTTGACTTTAGAGGTTCCACTGTCGCCAAAGTGTTGTGTGTGTGTGTGGATTCGACAATCTTCCATGTTTCTAAGTGTGTCACCAAGGACTCGTCACCCATCACCATAGAAACCAGGGGGCTGACCTTGTCACTGGTGAGAGACAGGACGCTTGGCCAATAGTCAGGGATCAGGTTGCGTCCGTGTGTGTTGTCACAAGCATCCTCCAACATGCCCTCTGGAAGAACACAATCAAGCTGGACGCGAGCATCAACTCAATGCTGCTCTGCACTTTTCGTGTTTCATTCTAATTCAACGTGTGTGCGTGTGTGTGCGAAGAGTGCCCATCAAGGCTTTCGGTTGAGTCTAGTTATCGGCTAATCTGTTGAAAACAAGAAGCTTGCTTTCAGACACGCACAGGTAGGAGCCATGTACTTCGCTGTTATGTGAGAGATGTGACGGATGCATGAATGTAAATATCGCTATTTAAATATCTGCCTTCTGGACTGTTAATTCATGCACAGGAACACGCGTTTCTACACACGTCAAAGGAAAACAACGTGCTACCATTTAGAGTTGTTAATGTCGTCATGTTGATGGAACAAGCCATTCATGTACAAATGGCAATCGATACTCCGAACACACACACACACACACACACACACACACATGTATATACACACTCACGCACGCACTCACACACACGAACACACTTTACGCATACAACAAAACAGAAAGAACCATGTGCATACGTTGATATCCTTGCTGACTTTTGTAAATAAAAGTGTACAGAACAAAAGTGTTACCTTTGATTTTATTTAAAGGACTTTGATGAACGTTTGCCTAAAGGAGGTAGGGGTGGGGGGTGGGGGAAGGGGTTAAAAAAGGAGGTGTTATATTTAGCCTGTGCCTGGTCTGCTCTGTGTGGTGAAGGTCTGGAGCTGGGCCGCTCCCCTGTGGTGGGGAGGAGCGGGGTGTGAGGGGCCGGGCGCTTGTGCTAAGTCTGTCTCACTCGCTGCATCTTTAATGAAGTGCCATCAGCAGACCTTTTACCGCTTGCTATGTCACAAAGCAGCAAATGTGCAGGTCACATATAAATATAATCTAGCTAATGAGAATCGTGAGGGCTGTATCCACAATTCTGCTTACATACAAGACTATAGCACATCCTATAGTACGTATCTTGTTTATGATAGGCTACAGCCCCCCCCCCCCCCAAAATAGGCCTCACACTGCCACTGATAAAGCATAATTTCAGATACCACTCATGTCTGATCAGGTGTGCTTAATGTTGTGGCTGCATACATGGACCGTGTAATGCAGGCTGATTCAGAGGAACACTGGAGAGTCAATGAATTCCGATGTGAATGAGGCACCGTAGACTACTTTTACAGCCGTGCCTGCTGTGGATGTGCCGCTTGATGCTAACGCCGATGGACACTGTGAGCAATTTAAACATTCATGCATTGTCCAGCCCGGCCCGTGTGGCTTTTGCTGTCATAAAAACAAAGTGACAGCACTGGGCGGGGGTACCAGAGATTGTCACTTTCTCAACAAGCTTTACCAGGAATGATCATCCACAGTACACAAAGGATGTTTTGGTTTTCATGGCGCATGAGCAGAGATGGAAAAAGTAGGGAGCGCGGGGACAGTTGTAACACGGGTCAGTTTTAACACTTGCAGGAACAAGTTAGGAATCGCCTTGCACGTGCTTAGTTTCGTCCTTCGTCCATATGATTCATTTCTTAGTGTATTTTAAGTCTTAGCTGTTATAGAACCACAGCAATTTTATTTGAAATAGTTATTTTTTAAAAACGCTTTCAATATGTATTGTATTGTAGCTTTAGGCATTATCATGGAGTTTACTTCACAATGTTACATTTCACCCCAAGGGTATTTTACAAATGGACGGAGCCCTTACGGTGACATGGAAGAAAAAAAAAAAAAACTTTCCTACCTACATTCCCTCGCAGAGATTGCGAAAGAGCATCAAGGTGTTCTGGAGGGCTGAGCGCAACAGCTGAGCAGCAGAGTATGGCAGTTAAGGTAACTGACAAACTGGCAACTGGGGGGTCTCTTCAGACTGGCCTTAATGCTGCAGAGCAGAGTGTGGCTGACGAGGTGAAGACTGGCAGGTGTGTCGGTGGGACAGGTGCAATGATTGGGGAGAGGGAGGGGCCACACATTGGAACACTGAGGTCAGACACAATGAATGGATTCTAACGTAAAGCTGCAGCTATCACAAGAGTGAAAAGACCTAAAAATGGCAGCCCCTGTAAGTACTTTTTTTATATCAATTATTTGCAGATTTAAGTTAAACAACAGCCAATAAAGAAATGTACGATTGAAGTATCACAGAAAGTTTTGACATCTCAAACTTCCCATACATGAAAACTCTACCAGCACAAAAAAAAGTCTTTGTACTTTGTCACTTTTCCACCACTATACATGAGTGTGTTTAAGTGCAAGAGTTCTGACATTCACGATCTTTGAAGAGCCACTTGCACCCTGTCTGCCCAACAGGCCTTTGGTCAGTGTTAATTACCGCCGACTGCCACACTGTCCTCCAGGAGGCCATCAGGCAGGTGAGTCGGGGTGGGGAAAAAGCTGCATACCTGTAGGGCGCTGATTACATAAGTCGCTCCTATTGCGTGTGTGCGTGTGTGTGCGCGCGCGCGCGCGCGTGTGTGTGTGTGTGTGTGTGTGTGTGTGTGTGTGTGTGTGTGTGTGTGTGTGTGTGTGTGAGAGCGAGAGAGAGAGCGCTTCTTTCGGAAAAGAGACCTTGAGGTCAAATAATCAAACCGGTGTGGAAGCGGCTGACAGATGCAACCCTGGCACGAGGCGACTTGATTAAACCTGCACACACACACACACACACACACACACACACACACACACACAAACCAGCATCACTTTTGTCTGGCCTCCCGCAGGAGGAGAGTGTTGATGAGCCAAGACTGGAGGTTGATGACAAGGAGGTCACTGCAAGTCTGATTCAGCCAGCCTCACGGTTCACCCGGGTTGAGTGCGTGAGCGTGCATGTGTGTGAGTTCATTAGTCACATTGTGTGACTCATTTGGCTCACACCTCTCATCACAGGTCCACATTTGCACGCACAAATAAAAAAACTAAAATCCCCCCCCCCCCCCAAGCAACACACATCAAATGTTGCCGTGCTCCCACTCTTACATTTCCAATGTTTCAATGAGCAAATTAGATTAATGTTAAATCTTGATAATGAAATCCCAAACGAGATGAATGTGCCCTGCTGTCATGACATCTGTCATCCTCGGGGCTAATGCAGTTAGACCTCGCAACAATGCTCCATCACAACAAACCACATTAGGCCCAAGGTAATTGTGTTTGCTGGGTTTAAGTCTGCTATGAGGAGGAAGGGGAGGCCTCCACTTTGGGCTAGGGTGCCGCTGGTACAGGGTGCGGTGGAGGGGAAATCTCTAACCAAAATAGGCTTGTTTAACTCTAAGCTCTGGCTCCCTCTTATCGAGTTAGGAAGCTGCTCCCGCAACTCACGCGGCCCCCTGATGGATCCGAGTCGTGATGGCGAGAGGCGGCGTGACGGACGCTCTGACAAGAATCGGAGACGGCGAGCTGGCTAAATGGGTGTCATGTCATTTTCCCGGAGAGGTCCAGTCTCTGGTCCGCAACCGTAAACAAGGCGGGCTGATTTAATCGTGCTGCCATTCGCATTATGGTAAAATGGACATTTGGAATATGAACGGAGACGTGAGAGGGAAGTAAATGTCACATTTGAATATAGGAAATGACAAGGTGTCTTATATTAAAAAAAAAAAAAAACTTTTTATTGTCCAGTCGAAAACACATTTGCATTTAGAGCACAACACAGCTAAATAGAAATCTTCTGCAAGTGAGCCGTTAACAGTATAGCACAGATCTACTGTACATATTGTACTAAAGGCGGTTCAACCCAGGTTGCAGAAAGTCGGTTACATGGGATAGAACTGCGAGGCGGCCTCAGATGATTGGATCTCCACCTGAGCCATCTTGAACTGAGTGCACTGCAGCCACTTGCGCAGCGCAAAGGGCGGCGCTCCCGGCGTCTGACCTTGCAGACACTGGTGGTTCACGCGGTTCTGGATGGCCTGGAGACGCAGCTGCAGACCTGCCGACAGGTGCTGATGCGGGGCGGAAGGGAGGGCGGTTAACAATTTGCTTGGATTCTTTTATATTTACGTGGCATTTGCAGGGTTTACCTTGAGGTTGGACTGTATCATGGGTAGCCACATTGGAATAAGCTGAGGGAAAGAATAAAGAGTGAGAAATGATGTTGTCGCTTGTTGCTCACGGGGGTCATCTATTTGCTCCGCTTTGTTTGTATATTAGCAGGATACAGTCAGCCCCCGTTTACGTCGCAGACCAAATCCACAATACTCATTTAAAAAAAAAAAAGTTTTACCTACGGGTTCATTAATACTCAAACCAGTATCGATGCCGCTGTTACCTTGAATCTGTACTGTACTTATACTAAATGCACCGATACTATGACACAAATACCACTCAACCAGCCTGACATACTGGATAGCTTCTGCCCCAGTGTAGTAGGAGTCATGTGAAGATGATTTCAGGTTTTGATTTAAAAGATATGATTGCATCAAACTGAACCGATTCCAATCGTTCCACTTTAAAATACATATCGAGATACGGATCAAATCGCCTTTAATTGCAGAGTTCTCTTTGAAGGAAATGCCATGTTGACTGTACTGACAAGTTCCGTCACATGACAAATGACAACAAGAAACTCATTGAATTACACCCTCACAAAATACCCTTTAAAATTGAACCGTATCTCACCGCATGTATTTTATTCAAGTTATTTTTTAGTTGACACCCAAACGTAACATGGCATCTGTATTCTGTCTATTTTATCCAACGTCAAAGTGGCAACATTTCTTGCAAACCTTGACAAAGATGGTTGAGTTGCACTCCTGCAGCGCTTCCATCAGGCTAATAACATGAAGGCACACCATCTCGACCATCTGAAAAAACAATGAAGCAAAGTTCACCATCGACTCTTCATATGTCATATTTTCACACTTTCGCAAATTTTGCACTTGATGGGCCAGTGAAAGGGGGAGGCCGAGCACTCACCACCTTATTGTGCGCCATGAGCTGCAGAATGCTGGGTGTCACACGACTCCAGAACTCCAGGCCTGTGAGAATGGCGCCGGAAGAGAACTCTGTCTGGTTCTGGTTCTGCAAAGTGGGAGCGGCGGCGGCCTGCTCGCAGTAGATGGTCCACAGCTGGGCAAACATGAAGGCGTGGAACAAAGAGCACATGTGCAGCACGGACGTCTGCGTAGGCAGTGAAAAAGCATCTCGTGAATAAAAGCGGGGCGTCGTCATTTGAACGGCTGCAGTGATTCCAGACGTACCTTCGACTGCTCGGGAAAGCCGATCAGGATGACAATAAGATGGTCCGCGATGTGGGAGCCGGCATCCAAAGGGATGGGCATACAGGAAGTGGAGCCCTGATGCAGGGTGCAATGTGTGAGCGAGCCAAGGAGGAGCCAAGACAGCTGACGCACGTGGGAGACGCATTCGATGAATTCCTTTGGACTGCACAGGAACAATGACATTCATGTCAGCATTCACTAAATGCTATTTTTTTCCCCCCCGCCCAAACAAAGCGAGTCACTGACGCGTCGCCTAAAAGGGCTCGTAACTGCGTATGAATGCCAGAAGTTGCCATCAAAGGACTGCTTTTGTCTAAATGGAACTCCTCAACTCACCTCAAATTGTTTCCTTGGCATCAATCAATGCTTAATTGTGAGTAGCGAAGTGTGCTAAGTGGTTGGCGCATCTGCCTCACACAAAAATTGGCCCGCAAATGCCCTTAAATGGCGAGCACAGCATGTCCCTTGTGAGTCTCACCCTTGCTGCATGGTGGAGGGAGGATGGTAAAGCCAGGGAAGATAACGGACCACGGCTTTGTTGTCACGGTGATTGCCTTTGCTGATCTCCATGGCGGCCACTTGAGCCAAGCCCACTTTAAGGTTTCCTCCAAAAGTGTCCTCGTGCAGCGGCTGGCAGCAAGCCTTCATGTGACTCTGGATGACAACATTGAAAGCGGGCAACAGTATAAACTCTGCCAATAAGAGTGGACTAAAGTGCTCTTGCGATGCAAACGAAGACTCACCTTGAGTTTGGTTAGCGTGTGCATGTCGGCAATGAAATCCAGGAGCTCACTTATGTATTGTCTCATGCATTCCATTGCGGCTGTAGTGCACTGTTAAGGCACAGATTTTATTTTTAGGCTGCCTTTGACTCCAGCTGCTGATTCTAATAAGGTTCTTAGTCAAATCTTACCCCGGGCAATGTAGCGATCATGTGCTTTTGGATGATGGTGGATTCCGCCAGTCGTGTGCCGATATCCGCACAAATAAACTGGCAAAAAATATCACACGCAGCGCATTGAGATTTTGAACATGCATGTCGGCGTGGTGATCTTATTTTTGCTGCGCTTTTTTTTTTACCTGGACCAGCAGTAACAAGTTTGTGTCAGGCAGCGGGGATTTGAACTTGAGAGCTTGAAGCAGCTCCAGCACCACAATGCGCGACATGTAGAACTTATCTCGCTCCTGGATGTGAGGAGATAAGAGAAGGGAGTGAATGTACCGATGCAGCAAGACTGCCTTTTTCTATTATCGCTCTCCCTTACTCATGCTGCGAGGAGAGCATAAACTCACGAGGCTGAATAGAGGAGGAAGGACAGGCGGCGAGAGGGTGGGAGGGAGCCGGAGAATAGACAGACAATAGTGAGGCTGAGGAGTAGATTTAGGCCAGTCCAGATCTCTCCTCCCTGAGTCCCAGGCAGCTCAGATGAGGCTGTCAGGCTGCCTTCTCCCTCCCCGAGGACAGACTGCTCTCTTTGTTCATCCCTTCCACACAAAGCCCAGCTGCCTGTTTACAAACCACACTGTCATCTCCTGGCTTCCCACTTTTGCCTCCCTTTCTCTGTGCCATCATGTTTGCTTATGTTGGTCCGCATGCGCCCAAGGAATGCAAAGCCAGTCCAGGCGTGCCTCACTTTGAAGGGGACATGCCCAAGTAGTCACGTGTAAAAAAAAAAAAAAAAAAAAAATGGAGACCCTAAGACAAATTTCAAACGCCGTGAAAAAATAAGCAGCAGGTTGAGATTGTGGTTTTCCCCCGACAACTTTCACCCACATTCCCAAAAACACACATTAGGTTCACTGATGACTCAAAATTGTCCATAATGTGAGCGTGAAGTTTTATTTGTCCGTATGTGTCCTGCAATTGGCTGGCAACCAGTTCAGAGTGGACCCCATCTCTTGCTAGAGTAGGTTCCAACTCACCCGAATGAGGACAAGCGCTGTTGAAAAGGCATGGATTGATATAAATAAATAAATAAACTATACATCAGCATGTTGCATACGGCGATGAAGCACTTTTTGCTTTTTGACCTCTGTCCAAATGTCAGACTGTGTCCGACTGTGAGGGAACTTCTCTTGCACGGCCCTCTTCAGTTTACCCAACGGTTTGTCCATTTTTTTTTTTCGCTCTAAACTCTCGTCTGCATCATTTATTCAGCATGACAAAGAGAACAAGCAACACACCCAAAAGTAAAAGACGGGCCTCACCAGACGAAATTAAACATTTTAGTATGGAATCCAGACTTAATGCAACAGAAAATCTGTGGGGCACAAGAGAAGCTGATAGATTTCGAGCACAAATGCTCGAAAGTGTGGGTACGCTGTAGACTGAATGCAAAGCAAAAGGTCGGCCAACAGAAGCAACCCTTTTGATCTTTCTTCCATAACAGACAAAGCAAAAATTCATAATTCCTCTTATGAGCCTATCAGGGTTACTATTTTAATACACCTACTGTGTTAACTATCTCCAGTGCATGTGTGGCTTCTGCGCAGCCACACTTGAACTCTGTGAATGAAAATTTAAAGAAGCATGTCACCTTCAGTAAATAGAAACCCGCTAGGCTCACTTGCAGCACCATCCACTGATGCATGCCCTGGCACCCGTCAGCCCCCCCCACACACACACACAAAAAAAGCTCAATTTATAACTTTAACCCTTTCATACAACCGGGACCCGATAACATGATAAGCTGTCCACTGTTAGTAACCGCTGTCCCCGAAAGGGATAAAACCTGATCTGCAAAGACAGGCAAGATGGGTTGAGAACCCTTCCCAGAAATCACTTAAAAAAGAAAAATTGCACAGGAACAAGTTCCAAGAGTAATTGTTGATAGTGACTTTGGGTTTTGAAAAGCGGATATTGTACGGTGAGGAATTGAAGCGAGGGTGGAGAATCAATACTGCAGGAGACATAAAACATGCCCCGTTGACAGCGGCAGACGACTGAGGATCCTCCGGGGCCAAATGCTGTGGCTGCACCTCCGTCTGAGACTGCAACTCAAAAAGCCGCCACAGACCCACGGCCCCTACAGCAAACCAACTCATTATGTTAATCAATACTGGCTGATTGCCTACTTAATCATGTGGGATGCACGGCCACATTTCTGGCTGTCTGGGGAGTCAGGGAAGTAGCGCAGCAGCAAAAGAATGATGACCAAAAGGACTGCGAAACAACACAACTCAACATTTTTAGCAGTGCTAATTTGTTTAAAAGGTTTAAACAAGGTTGCGGCAAAAATAGTCCTTGCATTGTGTCATCAGAAATAAATAATGGGGGATTATTGGACTGTTTCTTCCAGCGCCCTTTTGGAGAAATGAGTACGAACAGAAGAAATCAATCATCGCAAATAAGTGATCCTATCCAGTTGCAGAAAAGCAACAGAAACCCAAACATGGCGTCAGTTGTTTTGCTGTGCTTCAAGAGTCACTGATACAAATGACTCTGATTGGGCCAATATTAATAAGATAGAAGATAAGAAGCTGATTCTTTCAGGGAAATAAAGAACAGAAGAGGGCGTAAAGTCCCAAAGTGGTTTGCTTCGAAATGTAAGCTGTGAATACAACCAAGAGTGACGTACCTTGTTGAATGCTTTGTAGCAGAGTCCACAAAGCTCCACTAAGTAGGAAAGGCTGAAGATGCCGTACTGGATGACAAAGCTCAGCAGCTTGGAGAAAGGCTCCAGAAGGCTCTGTGGGACACAGGAGGTTAGATGTTAAAGGCCAGGATTTGTATAAATTAGCTTCCCCCAAATCTTCTCTGGGCTTACCCGAGTTGCATTTGTCGCTGGAATTTTCAGAAGGCAAATTATAATCCTCAAACTGGAATCCATGGGGCACTGAGGCACAGACAGATTGAAAAAGTTTGAAGAAGAAGACTTTTCAAAGTACAAAAGTTCGTGCGGCTATTTCGCCACGACGTCCAATCATAACACTGGATCGAATTCATGTGGGGATAAAATGATGAGTGACACTTTAATTTGACCTCCAAGGTCAAAAGCGGCAGAGTCACATCAATTACAATCTTGAGACTCAGTCCTATTGAACCTGACAAGGGCACTGCTCCATGCTTTCTCCCGAGCCATAATCACATCAAAGCATATCAGGCGCAGGCTAAGTGAGCGCTGGCGTCGATGGCTACCTTCAGAGGAAGCACAGAGGGCAGTTTAGTGAGGAAGGTCTGGAATTGGTTGCAGATGGTGGTCCACAGGTTGCTCGGGGAGTCCATGGGGAGGGCCTCCATGAAGGTAGCAATGTTGTCCAGGCAGTGCAGCATAGTGCCTCCTGCTGGCAGACTCTTTTTGTTGTTCAACCCCTGCAGGGGGAGGGCACGGAGGCAGAAAAGCACAACTGTGTTATATAATGGCATTCTATAAGCGGTGGAGATTTCCATTTAACTGATCATTCACTTCTGATCAATCACAACGCTCACGACTGCGGCAGCGGATTTAGGACGCCGAAGCACAGATCGATGGTCACACAGGTCACACGCCTCACTGGGCTTTTATTTGTGTCATTTATTTAGCCCAGCAAATCGCAATCAACTGGTGCAGTTGTGAAGGGTAATGAGGCACGTTCTCTTTGAACACCGAAGAAATGTTGTTTCAAAGGGGCTTCTGCCGCCTCAATGGAACCAAAAGGGGCGTCCAATACTTTGACAAGAGCTCCTCCTGGTGGCGAGAAGACGAATGAGGAGAACGCTCACCTCCAGTAGCATATTGAGCGCAGCAACAGAACTCAGCTCATTAAAATCTATCAGCGATGAGGCGAGCGTTCGAAGAAAACTTCCGTCTGCAGAGAAAAAGCGACAAACGGACCTTTTAGTTTTTTGTTTTTTTTTTTGGGGGGGGGGGGTTCCTTTAAGGTTTCGATTGAATTGGAAGTGTGAGGACTTGACCCTTAATGTTGCTTTGGAAGAGTTGTGGGAAGATGCCATTTGGGGCCAGCTGGTGGAACATGCACCGGAGGAACTGCTTAGCGACACCTGCGACATTCCCTGGGATCAACATGCTGCAAAGCACAAGGAGAAGTACAATGTTGGCCACGTGAATTATTACAACTCTTCATCTAGAAAAAAACGTGGATATCTCTGAACGGCAGTGTGACAGCTTCATGTCAAACCTCTCAGCTTGTCCAGAAAAATTAGCACTGGAAGCCAGCCTGAAAGAAGTCAAAGCAGTGGATTAGGCTCCAGGAATGAATCATGCATGCGTCCTGACGGTTAGTTATGAAACGTCATCTAAGTGCCCGTGTGGATGTAGGTTGCAGGGAGGGGTGGGGGTGGGCTGCTCTACCTGCCCACAGACTGCATGATGTCCAAGAGCATAGGAGCAGCCAGATCAGGGCTAAGGTGGATGAACATGGAAAGCACCACCACCGCTAGTCCCAGAGTCTCTTCGTCGTATTCTTCCAACACAGCCGCACAGTCCCGACACCTAAAGTGTCACATAGAAAGTGTCTGATTCTACCTCCATAATCCTTTCCATGCACTAATAATGATAATTATGATGATTTTTTTTTTCAAAACATTATTCATGATTCTAACTTTCACAAATTCCGACATATCTCAGAAATAACATCATTTATTTTGCTGCCTGCTATCATGTGAATGCAAAATGGCTGCCTCATCCTGGCACTTCAGCGAACAGATCCCTTTCCTTTCTTGCAAAATAGAAACGATTATTATCGTTTGAATGATAACAACTTCCGATATTTGAACATCTCATAGCAGTAAAATTATTCCTTCATTCATTCATTTCCCGATCCGCTTATCCTCACAAGGGTCGCGGGGGGTGCTGGAGCCTATCCCAGCTGTCTTCGGGCAGTAGGCGGGGGACACCCTGAACCGGTTGCCAGCCAATCGCAGGGCACACAGAGACAACCAACCATCCGCGCTCATACTCACACCTAGGGACAATTTGGAGTGCTCAATCAGCCTGCCATGCATGTTTTTGGAATGTGGAAGGAAACCAGAGTACCCGGAGAAAACCCACGCGGGCCCGTGGAGAACATGCAAACTCCACACAGGGAGGCCGGGGCTGGAATGGAACCCAGTACCTCCGCACTGTGAGGTCGACGTGCTAACTACCGGACCACCCAGTAAAATTATTTGATTTTCAAAATAAAATTCAATGGGGTATGTCTTCACCGTTATTTTTGCCGGCATTTGTCTGCTGTAAAGCACGGGAAGCTGAAAATGAATTCATTCACCTGTCAGACATTAAGGTCGGCTGCTCATCAATGAATTCTTCAGGTGCGGGGACAAACATGCTCACTGTGCTCGGTGCAGAGAGCAAACTGGTCTTTGTTGGACCTACAGTACAAGAAAATACGTTCTTTAGAGAAAAAAAATGAAGTTCTTGGGGTAATGCAAAAAAAAAAAAAAAAAAAAAAAAAAAAAAAGAATGAATGAATGACCTGTGTCCCAGGTGCTGATGTTGTGCGGCGCACTGGACTGATGCTCCAGCTGCCTCTTCATCAGTTGGCTCATGGTCAGTGCGCCCAGAGAACCTCGCTTCACCTGACGGTACTGAGCTGAAGGTCACACAAAAACAAACACACTCAGGTTCGCATCGCTGTTAAAGTATCCGTGCATTGGAAAATGGATGTTTCAAGGATGACAAAACAGATGGGTGAATTCACCTAACTGTGACATCACACCGTTTAGCCACCGTGTATCAACGGTGCTTATTACTGCAGAGCTACTTTAGTTACTAAATAAAGGTAAGGCATGTTTTAAGAATCCTACCCGATACTGACGAGCGGTGGCTCGTTTCGGGCATTGCGGCTTCAAGTGTTGGCGCTGAGGAAGATTCTCGCGGCTTTTCCAAGGTAGACAGTGCTTGGTTATCTGTATGGTGACACAAACTCTCAGCTAATCAATCATCCATCAAAGCATCTATACCACTTAGCGTCATTAGCTTCATTGGCGAAAAGCATGCTAACCGCACTACCATTGTCTCACACAAAACTAAAGCGGGCTTTGGATAGTTCTCACTCACCTGTGTCCGTGGCCTGCTCGTTGCCAAGCTTATCAAACGTGTTGAACGAGATGTCCAGGTACTCCCTCTGGATGGCGCTCACAGCGATCTTCCTCTGCTTCCGCTGTCGAGGAACGATCTGAATTTTAAACTCGGCCTCGTCATTGTCGTCGCCGTCGTGCGGTTTGAGTTCGCTGTCTGCTTCATCGCCCATGTCGTCATCGTCCTCGTCGTCGCCGTACTCTTCCTCGTCGTTGCTTCTCTCCGGTGAAGACAGAGGTTCTGTTTGATCTTCCGGGATGCCCAAGAAGATGGTCCTGCCGGAGGGGCTCGAGCCCTTGGCCTCCTCGAGTGCGCCGAATGCCTCGTCCACCGAGGTGTCTGGCACATGGGGCGTCTTCCTCAGCAGGTCCCTCTTCTGCTTCAGGGTCATGATGGGGCTCTCGTGGCAGATGTTCCCCATTCGCTCAGGTAGTTCCAAAGAACTTGAAGGAGTCAGTTTCTTTTCCAAAAGCACTTCTCCGGTCAGACGTTCTGTGATCTTCTTGTCACCGGAGCAGTCCTCCACACTGACCTGCACCACAGGGGACAGCCGCAATGTGTTACTACTCGCGGGAGAAGCCAGAACTTTTGGACTTCCATTGAACTTTGATCCTGTTATGGTGTTGAGGTCAAAGTCCTCGTCACTCTCAACAATCCTGAGTGGAGGCAAGGGTTCAAACACTAAGGAGTCGCTGTCGGACATGGAGAGCAGGGAGTGTTTCTCCGGTATGGAGGTGCAGTCGGAGGAGAGGTCAATGAGGTCTTGGTCCTCCTTTCCTGCAGCTGACCCCCCAGCAGAGCCGTGATCCCGCTTGTCCTCAAAGGTCTCCATGCAGCTGAGGCGCACCTCGGGGATGACGGGTTTGGAGATGTCGGACTGCCCGCCTCGAGAGCCCCGCCTGTCCACTGCGTCGTTGCCCTCCACTCGAACCCAAGAGCCATCGGACGATCCTTTGCCATGACGCCTGGTGTGGGCGGCAGTCGACGGAGGCAGGACAACAGGGGGTGCCTGTAAATCGCAGCGGTCGATGCAGGATTTGCGTCGATGTTCATCGAGGTTGAAGAGGATCGAGTCAGTATTGGAGATGTCCAGAGACTTCTGCTTGTTCATGGCCTGCAGACGCTTCTTCCTGGTGCTCTCCTCCCTCACGCAGTGCAGGATGCTGTCCTGAAGTGCACTGGCTTCCCGATACTCGGACAGCTCAATTTCGCCTGACGTGGGTAAAGAGCACTGATGAGACATCCGGGAAACAAAATTCTGGATGTCATCAGGGAGCGGAAATGTTTCCCACTCTTACTTTTCTTTGCGTTCAGCTCAACTGGTTGGTATTTCACAGACTTGCTCCCACCAATTCTCTTCAGGCGAGCAAAGAAGGTTTGTGACTCCTTGTTAGCGGCTCCGGTGGGTGTGTCATGAACATCTGACTCATCAAACACACTATCTTCTTCTGAAATACAGGAAAGAAATGTCGAATGAAGAGCAATCACGAGCCGACTTGTCCATAGTGCTGAAAATTGCCAACAAAACTTTTAGGAAGCTCTATTCTTAATCACCTGTAACCTGATGACATGAAAAACTGTCCACTGTAGTAACCGCTGTCCCTGGAAGGGTTAACCTCAACTTTTACCTCTATCTCGATTGCACCAGCCCTCTCGCATTCACATACATACATACATACATACATACATACATACATACATACATATACTTCATATGTTCGGAATATTTTGAAGGTTCCAGAAGGGGAGCCATTCCATCATTGATTTTGCAAGTGACAAATGCTTGTGCCTTAATCTTTATGATTCCATCAAAAATAATGGATAAGTCCATCCGTCCGTCCATCCATTTTCTGATCCGCTTTATCCTCACAAGGGTCGCGGGGGTGCTGGAGCCTATCCAAGCTGTCTTCCGGCGGTAGGTGGGGGACACCCTGAACCGGTTGCCAGCCAATCGCAGGGCACACAGAGACAAAGAAACATCCGCGCTCACACTCACACCTCGGGACAATTTGGAGTGTTCAATGAGCCTGCCATGCATGTTTTTGGACCGAGAGAGGAAACCCGAGTACCCGGAGAAAACCCACGCAGAACCGGGGAGAACATGCAAACTCCACACAGGAAGGCGGCAGCCGGGATGGAACCCACAACCTCTGCACTGTGAGGTCGACGCGCTAACCACTTGAGCACCGGGCCGCAATGTATAAAAGTCTGCATTTAAATTTTCGGACCTGTAGTCAATGGTACTTATTCAGGTCCGTGCTCAAGATAAACATTTTCACCTTTTTCCTTTTCACTGTAGCGGCTCATGTTGGAGTTGTCACTGTAGAGGGGGCCGGCAGTGGCGTGGGGACGGCAGCTGTGATACTGAGCGTTCAGGGTGTTGATGGTAATGTAGATCAGATGGAGGACAACTTTGCTGCCATCCATTTCTCTGTAAGGATACTGAAAAATGACACTCAGTTAGATGACACCTACACCACCTAACAGTGATGGGAAGAAGTAACATAGGCTATTTTTTTGTTTGTCAGTTCACAAAGTTAGTGTTACAATGTGAACACATTGTTTCGATAGTATGTGTACAATGATTTATTTGTTTTTTCTTTTCAGTAAGGGGACTATGCAAGTTAATATAGACAAACGGTACAGGGAAGAGTTGTGAAAATAAAGTTTTAAAAAAATATTGTATATAATGGAAAAGAAAGATTGATTTTTACGTTTTACTTGAGTCCTTAAGAACATTTCAGAATCTGTACTTTTTTAACTTGTATTTCTTAGGTCGTCTACTTTTACCAGGGTAATTTTTATTCAATCAAGACCAGCACTTAAGTACTGCGTGTAAGTCATTTTGCCTCCTCGGCAATCTGATGACTGCTGCAGTGAAATATAGTGGCTAGAAATCCTAAAAGGTGAAAGTGTACCTTATACAGAATGACCAGCAGGGCTTTGAGCCACATCTGTCTGATGTGTGGCCTCAAGGCCCAAAGTGAGCATCGGGGCGGCTGCTGGAAATAGTGTCTTAGCTGAGGACACGTGCAGTACTTTAAGACCTGGACCACCAGGGGGAGCAGCTGCTTCCCTAAACCGATGTTATAGTCCATGACCTGAAAGAAGTGACAATGGACGCTTCAGCCTACATGGCGCACACTTTTCTATTCATGAAAAAGCACATGCACACACACATTAATAAGTGATCATTTATCATAAAAGTCAGTCACCTGTGCAATACCGGCAATGAAAGCATTGAAGCATGTCGAGGTGCGCATCTTCTGAGGCGCAATCATGAAGCAGCCCTCCTGCTGGTCGTAACCCAGCAACACATACAGGTGACGCTTCACCGTGTTGAAGGCCTTGGCGCTGCCAATGTCTGCCTCGGCACTGCTCTTGTCTTTGGCCATGAATTTCATGAGTACCATGATGAGCTGGTGAACAGTCTGGTGGTCGATGCCAGCGTCCTCTGGGAGCAGGTCTCGGATGATGCTGTCGTCTTCAGGAGACAGCGTGTGGCCTGCATGAGAGACTGAGGTAGTTGGAGTGTTGGAACAAATGTGCTGTCGGGTATTGGGGATTGGTCGGGGTTATAAAAAGAGGCAGGAGGCTCGTGTACTGTCATCTCTCGTCCATCTGAGCTGAGCGGAGTACACACATGCGCGAAATTGTTGGTAACCTACCGTTCATGAAATAAAAACAATACAGTAATGCAAGAAAGAAAAACATTGTCATGATCCTGTTCTTGGGTTTCTCCAGCAGGTGGCGGTGGAAGGCTTCTCTTCCAGGGTGCACTCCTGCTGCCAATTGGATCATCGTGTTTCAGTCATGTATTTAAGGACTGCCAAGATCCCATGCCTCTTGTCAGATTATTGACCTTGTTGCTGCTCTTGCTCAAGTGTTGTTTTCGAGCTTTCTCGATCTCGTCGTTGACTCTTTGCATCTAGTTCCTTGGTAGGAAGTATTTATATTATTTTGTTTTTGATCTTGCTCCTGTTTTTGTTTCGCGCAAGTGGACTCTAGTTATTTCATCTGTATTCTCGGATGAACTATTTCCTTGCCTTTTGCAAGCGCTTTTTATTAATGTATTGCTTTTCCTGGTCCTTGTTGACTGGTGATTTCTGTTTCTACTTTTTCGGTGCACTTTTGTTATTCAATAAATGTTTTGTGTCTACGTTTGTGGGATCCGATCGCCATTCAGTTCGTTCCCAAGCTTGAAAAACATAATGAATAAAAATGTAAATAAAATTAACCAATGAGAATCAGATATTGGTTTTGAATTTTGGTTCAACAGAATTATTTTAAAAAACAAACTCGTGACACAGGCTTGGACAAAAATGGTCGGACCCTTCACTTATTTGTTGTTGCGCAACCTTTTGAGGTGATTTTCGTAACTTTCAATGAGACTTCTGCATCGCTCAGCAGGTATTTTTGGCCCACTCTTCATGAGCAAACTGCTCCATTTGTCTCCGGTTTGGAGGGTGCTTTCTCCAGATGGCATTTATCAGCTCCTTTCACGGATGTCTAATAAGTTTTAGATCGGAGCTCCTAGAAGGTCATTTCAGAATAGTCCATTGATTTGCTGCCGCTGTTGGGTGTTTTTAGCTGTACGTATCGGGTCATTACCCTGTGGGAAGACTAATGACCTGCGAACACTGGGCGGCACATTTCTCTCGAGAATACCTTGATAGTCTAGAGTTCCTTCTTTCATTAACGGAGGGGTGCCAACAATTTTGTCTGTGCGAGTAGAATACATATCGCTGGCGTCGGGATGACACCTCCTCCTATGTCACAATTTGGTCAATTTGTTTTTGTTTTTTTTTCACAAATCTATCCACTTTGTGAATCCACAATATTGGTGTTGTTTTCACAAATTACTGACCGATCTAAAGTGTGAGATGTTAATTAATATTCATGGTTGATTAAACATACCATTCTGGGCTCTCCTGAAAAGTGATGAGTAAGCGTTTTATTTAATGTATTGTACATATTAAGTGGAGGAGTAAAGTAGTTTCACATTTGGAGGTTTTACTTACCTGGCAGGACTTTCTCGATCATATCACCAAGTGTTGGGGCAGAGTGCTCTTGCCTGGTAAGCCTGAGAGCTACAAACCAAATATGAAGAACACAGATTAGTGGTGCGACAGGAGAAGGTGTCACACATCTGGGCGCACGCAAACGTTTTCTAAATTATCAGTCCACGATCAGTTTCTGTGATTAGTTGAAGCCCTGCACTTGTTTTAAAACAACCCAGTCCCATTCCGGCAAGAGTGAGCTGCCGTCAATACTTCAGGTCGGTACATTCCGTCCGGATCGTCGGTGAGAACGGACGCACACCTGACACTCAGCCCAAGACAGAAAAAAATAAAACTGTGTTGTATATCTTTCAGTCCCACAGACCTCAATGCAAGGTGTCCCATTTTTTTTTTTTTTTACTTCACCAAGCACACTGTGCGTGTATGTGGCTTTTATTTATTTATTTTTCTTTATTTGGCTGCTGGCGCCGGATAATGTTACTGCTGAATATTCATAAACTGTAATGTTTTCTGAGCAAATTAGGTGGGCTGGATTGCTAACATCACAGTCTCACAAATTCAGAGTGCACCAAGACATCTTGGGTTTAGTTCACCTTTGAGGGAAAAAAAAATACACAGAAGATGGGATGTTGTAAGAAATGTTTAGGCCGGGATTAAGACTAAAATGGAGACCCTGGACTTTGCTTCGTAAGCTACATTTTGTTGTTGTTGTGGTGCTGATATTTTTGTGGGTTTTTGTCATGTGGTTATGTTGTTGTTCTTGTCTCTTGTTGTATGTATTAATGTTGGTAACTAAAAAAAAAAAATGAGACCAATCTAAATCACTGCAAAAATTTGCGACCTACAACCCATAACACTCAATCAAAATGTGAGCAATCGTTTTGAGGGGGGAAATGAAAATACACCCCTGAAAAAATGTGGGTGCAAACGTGTACACAAGTTCTTATAATTGAGAACGCGGCTGTGTTCAAAAATTACCAATCACATTCAAAATTAACCTTGGTTTGATCAGACCAGAATACATTTTCTCCAGTGCATTTAGGAACCTTTTGGCCGTGATTTCAAAAGGTATGTCTGGAGCAATCACCGCTTTGCTCAATACTAAAAGAACACATGCAGGATACATTTGAGCGGAGGGGACTAAGTGACCAATCCACACTACTCACATTGTCGGTTGCTCAGTGATTCGGGGAGTGAGAATGCCCGCTTGGACTCTGGCGGGCCGCCCTTCACGCTGTCACGCAGTGAGCGTACGCTCTTCTGCTGGTTCCTGGCAAAGCGCGCCCGTCGTATTTTCCACATTGCTGCATCGCTGAGGTTCGCCACATTGGTTCGCACGGCAGTGATGGCTGTCAAAAGACAGGTTGTTAGGAATTTAGAATATAAATGGACTGTGATGTGGCTGTCGCAAGTAAAACGAAGGTGTGGGACTTTGGCGTTATCATACTTGTAGGAAAAGGGAACTCCTTATTACAGTCCAGGTGCAACTGAGCCTCCAGTGATAATGTTTCAAAGCGGTTGACGAAAAACTCCCAGCTGAGAGCAGGTACGTCTTTCTTCAGGAAATGAAGCAAAAGTAGTTTGCTGAGGATGACGGGCCGATCCCTCACGACAGTGTCAAACTGGAAATCCAGGCAGAGACACAAGCCCTGCATAGCACAACGCCAATAAGTGCAGGAACACAAAATGTTGCACAAATACAAAACTGAAATGAATTCCTGGTAATGCAGCCCATTCATTTTTTTCTGCATGCATCACTAGAAAGAACGAGTTTTGTGTCTTCAGGATATTTGTGGGATCCGATCGCCATTCAGTTCGTTCCCAAGCTTGAAAAACATAATGAATAAAAATGTAAATAAAATTAACCAATGAGAATCAGATATTGGTTTTGAATTTTGGTTCAACAGAATTATTTTAAAAAACAAACTCGTGACACAGGCTTGGACAAAAATGGTCGGACCCTTCACTTATTTGTTGTTGCGCAACCTTTTGAGGTGATTTTCGTAACTTTCAATGAGACTTCTGCATCGCTCAGCAGGTATTTTTGGCCCACTCTTCATGAGCAAACTGCTCCATTTGTCTCCGGTTTGGAGGGTGCTTTCTCCAGATGGCATTTATCAGCTCCTTTCACGGATGTCTAATAAGTTTTAGATCGGAGCTCCTAGAAGGTCATTTCAGAATAGTCCATTGATTTGCTGCCGCTGTTGGGTGTTTTTAGCTGTACGTATCGGGTCATTACCCTGTGGGAAGACTAATGACCTGCGAACACTGGGCGGCACATTTCTCTCGAGAATACCTTGATAGTCTAGAGTTCCTTCTTTCATTAACGGAGGGGTGCCAACAATTTTGTCTGTGCGAGTAGAATACATATCGCTGGCGTCGGGATGACACCTCCTCCTATGTCACAATTTGGTCAATTTGTTTTTGTTTTTTTTTCACAAATCTATCCACTTTGTGAATCCACAATATTGGTGTTGTTTTCACAAATTACTGACCGATCTAAAGTGTGAGATGTTAATTAATATTCATGGTTGATTAAACATACCATTCTGGGCTCTCCTGAAAAGTGATGAGTAAGCGTTTTATTTAATGTATTGTACATATTAAGTGGAGGAGTAAAGTAGTTTCACATTTGGAGGTTTTACTTACCTGGCAGGACTTTCTCGATCATATCACCAAGTGTTGGGGCAGAGTGCTCTTGCCTGGTAAGCCTGAGAGCTACAAACCAAATATGAAGAACACAGATTAGTGGTGCGACAGGAGAAGGTGTCACACATCTGGGCGCACGCAAACGTTTTCTAAATTATCAGTCCACGATCAGTTTCTGTGATTAGTTGAAGCCCTGCACTTGTTTTAAAACAACCCAGTCCCATTCCGGCAAGAGTGAGCTGCCGTCAATACTTCAGGTCGGTACATTCCGTCCGGATCGTCGGTGAGAACGGACGCACACCTGACACTCAGCCCAAGACAGAAAAAAATAAAACTGTGTTGTATATCTTTCAGTCCCACAGACCTCAATGCAAGGTGTCCCATTTTTTTTTTTTTTTACTTCACCAAGCACACTGTGCGTGTATGTGGCTTTTATTTATTTATTTTTCTTTATTTGGCTGCTGGCGCCGGATAATGTTACTGCTGAATATTCATAAACTGTAATGTTTTCTGAGCAAATTAGGTGGGCTGGATTGCTAACATCACAGTCTCACAAATTCAGAGTGCACCAAGACATCTTGGGTTTAGTTCACCTTTGAGGGAAAAAAAAATACACAGAAGATGGGATGTTGTAAGAAATGTTTAGGCCGGGATTAAGACTAAAATGGAGACCCTGGACTTTGCTTCGTAAGCTACATTTTGTTGTTGTTGTGGTGCTGATATTTTTGTGGGTTTTTGTCATGTGGTTATGTTGTTGTTCTTGTCTCTTGTTGTATGTATTAATGTTGGTAACTAAAAAAAAAAAATGAGACCAATCTAAATCACTGCAAAAATTTGCGACCTACAACCCATAACACTCAATCAAAATGTGAGCAATCGTTTTGAGGGGGGAAATGAAAATACACCCCTGAAAAAATGTGGGTGCAAACGTGTACACAAGTTCTTATAATTGAGAACGCGGCTGTGTTCAAAAATTACCAATCACATTCAAAATTAACCTTGGTTTGATCAGACCAGAATACATTTTCTCCAGTGCATTTAGGAACCTTTTGGCCGTGATTTCAAAAGGTATGTCTGGAGCAATCACCGCTTTGCTCAATACTAAAAGAACACATGCAGGATACATTTGAGCGGAGGGGACTAAGTGACCAATCCACACTACTCACATTGTCGGTTGCTCAGTGATTCGGGGAGTGAGAATGCCCGCTTGGACTCTGGCGGGCCGCCCTTCACGCTGTCACGCAGTGAGCGTACGCTCTTCTGCTGGTTCCTGGCAAAGCGCGCCCGTCGTATTTTCCACATTGCTGCATCGCTGAGGTTCGCCACATTGGTTCGCACGGCAGTGATGGCTGTCAAAAGACAGGTTGTTAGGAATTTAGAATATAAATGGACTGTGATGTGGCTGTCGCAAGTAAAACGAAGGGGTGGGACTTTGGCGTTATCATACTTGTAGGAAAAGGGAACTCCTTATTACAGTCCAGGTGCAACTGAGCCTCCAGTGATAATGTTTCAAAGCGGTTGACGAAAAACTCCCAGCTGAGAGCAGGTACGTCTTTCTTCAGGAAATGAAGCAAAAGTAGTTTGCTGAGGATGACGGGCCGATCCCTCACGACAGTGTCAAACTGGAAATCCAGGCAGAGACACAAGCCCTGCATAGCACAACGCCAATAAGTGCAGGAACACAAAATGTTGCACAAATACAAAACTGAAATGAATTCCTGGTAATGCAGCCCATTCATTTTTTTCTGCATGCATCACTAGAAAGAACGAGTTTTGTGTCTTCAGGATAAAGAAAGGCTTTTGCTGTGAGCTGAAGGCCTGTGTGAGGTGTTGACCTGCAACGCTGGCCTCTTGATGGTGTCCAGCAGCAGTCTCGCTCGGGTGGCCACAGCCGGGTTGACATCCTCCACCGAAGCCAGGAAGCAACAAAAGGCGTGCGCCAAAGAGTACTTGAGCAGGTGGTTTTTAGTCACCGCGCCAATGTCGAGGAAGCGGCACAGCACCGCAACCTTCTCCACTATGAGAATAGAAAGAACAAGAAAAAAATTTCGTCATAGGAGGAGTATATTTATAATGAAGATTGTCACGATAATGCGCTTGAATTTGCTGGAATATACCGTGTAGTGATCCATTTTCTACAGCACTTGTTCGCATTATAGCAGATAAACCATTCACGCTACCGTACAATATAGAATCATAACCGTACACATGCACAGGAAGGAACTCCACACAAGGAAAGATGAGATTTGAACCCTTCACATCACAACTATGTGGCAGATGTACTGAATTCTACGTAACCATACACATGAAAATAAAAACCAATCAAGCGGCAGGTTTTGCCACGCATTTGTTGAAGTTGCTTTCACCGCTGCACTACTCCAGAATGAACACTGGATGTCAGTGTTGGCATAATAACATTGACGTAGCCTGTCGGTCACGTCACACTTGAGGAAACGTGTTCGCTGAATCACAAGTGGTTATTCCAACAAAAGATTAGTTGGGCTTTGGGAAGATTGAAATATCACATTCATGTTGACATTAATTTAAATGTAAGCATATCTTAAACCCACTAGGCTGACAACACTTGGCTAAGAGATAAATTTGTTTACACGGCAATATGGACGAATAAATCAACACAAGCCTGGATTGCCAGTCCATCAGAGGACATATCACTGATTCTCTCAAGGTCAATTTGCAGCCAGGACATATCCCTGATTCTCTCAAGGTCAACTTGCAGCCAATAACAAGGTGGTTAAAAAAAAAAAAAAAAACATCATATCAAGCCGTCAATTCTTATTTGCCGGGTATTGGAGCTGCACTGTAACCATGACAACAAGGGAGGAGATGGTTAGCAGTGGTGTAGGACGTACGTCATAGAAAAGGAAAGGGGGTCTTGTTCAGATGGTTCACTCGTACACTTACAAATCACAATTTTCGGACGTTAGGGCAATTATGATAACCGGTGTTTATACTTTTTTTTTCACAAATCTATCCACTTTGTGAATCCACAATATTGGTGTTGTTTTCACAAATTACTGACCGATCTAAAGTGTGAGATGTTAATTAATATTCATGGTTGATTAAACATACCATTCTGGGCTCTCCTGAAAAGTGATGAGTAAGCGTTTTATTTAATGTATTGTACATATTAAGTGGAGGAGTAAAGTAGTTTCACATTTGGAGGTTTTACTTACCTGGCAGGACTTTCTCGATCATATCACCAAGTGTTGGGGCAGAGTGCTCTTGCCTGGTAAGCCTGAGAGCTACAAACCAAATATGAAGAACACAGATTAGTGGTGCGACAGGAGAAGGTGTCACACATCTGGGCGCACGCAAACGTTTTCTAAATTATCAGTCCACGATCAGTTTCTGTGATTAGTTGAAGCCCTGCACTTGTTTTAAAACAACCCAGTCCCATTCCGGCAAGAGTGAGCTGCCGTCAATACTTCAGGTCGGTACATTCCGTCCGGATCGTCGGTGAGAACGGACGCACACCTGACACTCAGCCCAAGACAGAAAAAAATAAAACTGTGTTGTATATCTTTCAGTCCCACAGACCTCAATGCAAGGTGTCCCATTTTTTTTTTTTTTTACTTCACCAAGCACACTGTGCGTGTATGTGGCTTTTATTTATTTATTTTTCTTTATTTGGCTGCTGGCGCCGGATAATGTTACTGCTGAATATTCATAAACTGTAATGTTTTCTGAGCAAATTAGGTGGGCTGGATTGCTAACATCACAGTCTCACAAATTCAGAGTGCACCAAGACATCTTGGGTTTAGTTCACCTTTGAGGGAAAAAAAAATACACAGAAGATGGGATGTTGTAAGAAATGTTTAGGCCGGGATTAAGACTAAAATGGAGACCCTGGACTTTGCTTCGTAAGCTACATTTTGTTGTTGTTGTGGTGCTGATATTTTTGTGGGTTTTTGTCATGTGGTTATGTTGTTGTTCTT